ATCCATACATTTTTATATTCCAACGACAAACTAGAAGAAAAAGAGATCAAGAAAGCAAGGCCATTTACAATAGTCACCAAAAAATAAAATACCTAGGAATAAACCTAACCAAGGAGGTAAAAGCTCTCTACAATGAGAACTACACATCACTACTGAAAGAAATTAAAGAAGACATGAAAAGATGGAAAGACATTCTTTGTTCATGGATTGAAAGAATCAGTGTAGTAAAAATTTCCATTCTACCCAAAGTCTTCTACAGATTCAATGCAATCCCCATCAAAATACCAATGACATTCTTCACAGAAATAGAAAAAGCAATCCTAACATTCATATGGAACAACAAAAGACCCCCAATCAAGCAATCCTGAGCAAAAAAAGTAAAGCCAGAGGCATTACACTTCTTGACTTTAAATTATATTACAAATCTATAGTAACAAAAACAGCATGGTACTGGCATAAAAACAGACACACGGACCAATGGAACAGAACAGAGAAACTAGAAATCAACCCATGTATTTATAGCCAACAGATCGCCAACAAGGGCACCAAGAACATACATTGGGGAAAAGACTGCCTTTCCAATAAATCATGCTGGGAAAATTGGACATCCATATGTAGAAGAATGAAACTAGACCTACATCTCTCGCTATATACCAAAATCAACTCAAAATGGATTAAAGACTTAAATATAAGACCTAAAACTTTAAACTTCTAGAAGAAAACATAGGAGAAACACTCCAGGATTTAGGACTGGGCAAAGACTATGAATAGTACCCCAAAAGCATAGGCAACAAAAGAAAAAACAAACAAATGGGATTATGTCAAACTAAAAAGCTTTGGCACAGCAAAGGAAACAATAGCATGAAAAAACAACCAATGGAATGGGAGAAAATATTTGCAAACTATGCATCTGACAAGGGATTAATATCCAGAATATGCAAAGAGCTCAAACATCTTTATAGAAAAAAAAACAAATAATCCAATTTAAAAATGGGAAAAGGAGCTGAATAGACATTTCTCAAAGGAAGACATAGAGATGGCCAACAGGTATATGAAAAAATGCTCAACATCATTAATCACCAGGGAAATGCAAATCAAAACCACTTTGAGATATTACCTCACCCCAATCAGATTGGCTATTATAAAAAAGACAGAGAATAACAAATGCTGGTAAGGATGTGGAGAAAGAGGAACCCTTCTGCACTGTTGGTAGGACTGTAAATTAGTAAAGCCATTATGAAAAACAGTATGGAGGTTCCTCAGACAACTACAGATAGAACTGCCATATGATCCAGCCATCCCACTACCTGGGATATATCCAGAGGATTGGAAATCATGAGGTCAAACGGATACCTGCACTCCCATGTTTATGGCAGCTCTATTTACAACAGCCAGGCAATGGAACCAATCTAAATGTCCATCAATGGATGACTGGAGAAGGAATTTTTGGTATATATACACAATGAAATACTACT